TGGCCGGCCTGCAAACCCCCAGCGGCCCCAAGCCCAGGCCGGTCCCGCCCTCCAGCAGGGACCCTAACCCCAATTGGGGCGTGGCCGCCATGCAAAAACCCGGCAGAGCCTCACCTAGGCTGGCCTTGCCCCCAGTGGGGACCCCCCACCCCAATCTGGGGCCCCCTTCAGGGCAGGCCAACCACCCCCACCCATTCACCAGGCCTCTGTCCTATATAATAAAAGCCTAATATGCAAATCGACCAAACAGCAGAGCACCTGGTGTAACAACCAGTTGCTATGACATGCATTGACCACCAGGGGGCAGACGCTCAAATGCAGGAGCTGCCCCCAGCCCGAAGGCCCCAGACTAGCCAAGGCGGGTGCCAGCAGGGCGCCCCCCCGCCCCGATCACCCCACTGGTCGCCTCACAGATCAGCCCTGATCGCTGGCCAGGCGTAGGGTCCCTAACTGTGCACAAATTTTGTGCATCGAGCCTCTAGTTTAAATATAGAAAAGATCGTGGGAAGGTTAAACGTAAAAGGACGGGAAAATACCATCACAGATCTACAAACAAAAAGAAAACTAGCCTAGCCGGTGTGGCTCAGTAGTTGAGTGTCGACCTATGAACCAGGAGGTCACGATTCGATTCCCAATCAGGGCACATGCCCGGTTGCGGGCTTGATTCCCAGTAGCGGGGCATGCAGGAGATAGCCGATCAATGATTTTCATCATTGATGTTTCCCCCTTCCTCTCTGAAATCAGTAACAATATATATTTTTTAAAAAGAAAGTTAATGTCTTTATAATAGCACATACATGAAAAAAGAAGGAAAAATTAAGTTTGGGAGGGGCGGAGAACAAAAGAGTCATTATTTTGGGGTAATATGATTATATAGATAGAAAATTCAAGAAAATCACATACCATTAGAACTCAAAAGAGTTTGGCTGGGTTTTAAAAATATCCAAGTACAGTAGATCCTCAGGTTATATCGGAGATCCATTCCTATGGCGTGATTTAACGTGATTTTCGCCGTAAGTCGGAACTCACCAACATAAGCATCTACGTCACTCACATGGAGCACAAACACAGCAGCAATGAAGTGAAACAGTAAAAAAAATTTAAAAGATAAATTCCTGACCTTTACTTGTGGTAAATAAATAATAAAAAACACAAAGCACATATGTACACACATTGAAATGATGGAACTTTTTTTTTAATAAATGGCAGATGTCGATGTAACCACGAAATGACATACTTTGAGTCTGACGTAACCCGAGGACTGTCTATATTTAAAAATCAATTGTGTTCGGTCAGCATGGCTCAGTGGTTGAGCGTGGAGCTATGAACCAAGAGATGATGGTTCGATTCTTGGTCAGGGCACATGCAGGCTCAATCCCCAGCGTGGGGCGTGCAGGAGGCAGCCGATCTATGATTATCTCTCATTGATGTCTCTTTCTCTCTCCCTCCCCCTTCCTCTCTGAAATCAATAAAAATATATTTAAAATGAAATAAAACTCAATTGTGTCTCCCTGTATTCTAGTTAAAACAAAAGACTCAAAGTTTTAAGGAATTTACAAAACATAATTGTACATAAAAGGAGAACCGAATAAATGGGAAGGTATACCATGCTTGTGGATAAAAAGATTTAATACCAGAAAGATGTGAACTCTTCCAACTTAATCATTAAGTTAGTGATGTTTAAAAAGAAATTCCCCTGGGAGTTTAGGATAAGGAGAATTTGATCATATAATTAATATTGAAGATAGTTTTGGAAAAGATAGATAGAGGACTTGGCCCTGCCATAGGCTTATTATATAGTTTAGTAATTAAGACAGTAGAATTGAATGCCCAGAAACAGATCATGTATATATGGGTGCTTGGTAAATAAAGAGTTCCTATTCACTTGGGACTAAATGATACTTGTTATTCCTCTGACAAAATAAATCCTATACAATAAAGAGGTAATATGCCAATTGACCCTCATGCTCTCACAAGATGGCTGCTTACGACCAGGCCAGCAGGAGGGTTAGTGAGGGACAACCAAACGACTGAACAAGCAGGCTGCGTGGGGCGACTAGGCTGGCAGCAGGGTTAGTGAGGGACGACCAAACGACTGAACAAGCAGGCTGCGTGGGGCGACCAGGCTGGCAGCGGGGTTAGTGAGGGACGACCAAACGACTGAACAGAAGGCTGCATGGGGCAACTAGGCCAGAAGAGAGGTTGCAAGCTGGGCTGAGGGGGCCCCCTCGCCCCCAGTGCACAAATTTCATGCACCGGGCCTCTAGTAAATAAATAATGAATGAATAAGATTCCCTGTCTCTTATTATATACATTCAGGGTTCAACAAACTTCTTATGTAAAAGGACAGATAGTAAATATTTTAGGCTTTGCAGGCCATATGGTCTCTGTTTCACTGTCTATCCTTGAAGCCATAGGCAGTGTATGTATATATAAACAAATGGACATGGCTATGCTAAAATAAAACATTATTTTAAAAAAAAACTTGTAGTGGCACCTTAGCCGGTTTGGCTTGGTGGATAGAGTGTTGGCCTGTGGACTGAAGGGCCCTGGGTTCAGTTCTGGCCAAGGGCACATGCCTAGGTTGAGGGCTCAATCCTCAGTAGGGGGCGTGCAGGAGGCAGCCAATCAATGATTCTCATCATTGATGTTTCTATCTCACTTTCCCTCTCTGAAATCAACAAAAATATATATTTGAAAAAAAAACTGGTAGTGGGATGGATTTGGCCCATGTGCTATAGTTTGTCAATCCTTGATATACAGAAATAAGTACCAAGTAGATAAGAGCCAAAATTTGAAAAAGCAAAACTTGAAATCATATAGAAGAAAATAGAGGGAGGACAATCTGATTTGGGGCAGGAAAGGATATTTTAAAAAATAAGGCAGGAAAATACAATCCACATAAGTAAATTTGACGTTAAAATAAAAAAAAAACTCATACAATAAAATATACCTAAGGCATTTGCAGTGCAAACAACAAAAGATTCGTATTCAGGATATGTATAGGATTTCTACAAATAAAAGACAAAGAACATGAATAAGCAGTCCATAAAAGAGGAAACCTGAATAGCCAATGAACATAAAAGGATGTTACATCAAAGAAAATCAAGGAAATGAATTAAAAACACCATCAAATACCATTTGGGAACTATTAAGTTGGCAAAAATTAAAAGTACCAAGGATATAAATATGAAGTACAGAGGTAGTGTAAATTGATATCACTACTTTTGTAAAAGAAAATGCAAATAATATGTTACCTAGCAGTGCCATTACTAGGGATTTTTTCTAGAGAAATTCTTATATATACACATAGGAAGACATGTACTCTATAGAATGTTCATCACATCAATGTTTGTGGACATTAGAAACTAAAATCTAAATGTTACTTAACAGGAAAATGGGTAAATAAAGGCATATTTATTTAAAGGAATTAAGCAGCTAAAATGAGCTAGAGCTACATGAAAACTAGAATTGCATCAATATAGACAAATGTTGAATTATATGAATACAAGTGTAAGATATGTGTAGAAGAACATAAGCATACCTCAGAGATATTGTAGGTTTGGTTTCAGACCACTGCAGTAAAGCAAATATCAAAGTGAGTCACACAAATATTTTGGTTTCCCAGTGCATGTAAAAGTTATCTTTATAGTCTATGACAGAGGTTCTCAACCTGTGGGTCGCGACCCCTTTGGCGGTCGAACGACCCTTTCACAGGGGTCGCCTAAGACCATCCTGCATATCAGATATTTACATTACGATTCATAACAGTAGCAGCATTACAGTTATGAAGTAGCAACGAAAATAATTTTATGGTTGGGTCACAACATGAGGAACTATATTTAAAGGGCCAGAAGGTTGAGAACCACTGGTCTATGAAGTGTGTAAGCAATAGCACTATGTTTAAAAAACAATGTGCATACCTTAACTAAAAAATACTTTATTGCTAAAAAATGCTACCCATTATCTGAGCTAGTGGAGGGTCTTGCCTCTGACGGTGGCTGCTAATAACTGATCAGGGTGGTGGTGCCTGTACAACAGTAATGACGTTTGCCGCATTGATTGGCTCTTCCTTTTGTGAATGCTTTCTCTGTAGCGTGCAATGCTGTCTGATAGCATTTTACCCCCGTAGAACTTCTTTCAAAATTGGAATCAGTCCTCTCAAACCGTGATACTACTATTTCAAGTTTATGTAATGTTCTGAATCCTTTGTTGTCATTTAAAAAATGTTCACATCTTCACCAGGAGTAGATTCCATCTCAAGAAACCATTTTCTTTGCTCATTCGTAAGAAGCAACTCCGATCTGTTAAGGATCTATCCTAAGATTGCAACAATTCAATCACATCTTCAGGCTCCACTTATAATTTTTGTTCTCTTGCTGTTTCCACCACATGTGCAGTTACTTCTTCCACTGAAGTCTTGAACCCCTCAAAGTCATCCACGAGGGGCTGGACTCACCTTCTTCCAAACTCCTGTTAAGTTGCTATGTTGACCTCTTCTCATGAATCACAAATGTTCTTAATGGCATCTAGAATGGTAAATTATTTCCAGATTTTCAATTTACTTTGGTAACTATAGCCTTACAAAGTATATTTTTTAATAAGAAATACATTTGAAAGTTGAAATTACTCCTTGGTCTATGGGGTGAATATTGTGTTAGCAGTCAGTGAAAACAAGATTAATCTCATTGTGCATTTCCATGAGAGCTCTTGGGTGGCCAGGTGCATTGTCAGTGAGCAGTACAATAAAATCTTGATGCAATGGACTAATTCAGGCAAGGGGGTGTCCATTAAAGCCAAAAGTCTGTTATATAATAAAGTAGGTTTTCTGAATGCATATGTTAAAAATTTGACAAATTAGTTTACCTGTTTTTACTTATATAGATAGGTTTGTGTAATTAAATTAAGTATGTATGAAAAGTTTAATTCCACAGAAAAGTTTTCTATACATATTACACTCACTAGTCACTGTGCGTAAATAAATGCATATGGCTGGGGTGTGGCTTAGCACACATCCAAACCTTGGCTAGCACTCATTAAAACTGCAGCAGATGCCTAGCCGGTTTAGTTCAGTGGTTAGAGCGTTGGCCGTTGGACTGAAGGGTAACAGGTTTGATTCCTGTCAAGGGCGTGTACCTTGGTTGTAGGTTCAGTCCCTGGCTCAGTCAGGTCATATGCATGAGGCAACCAATCAATGTGTTTCTCTTTCTGTCTCTCCCCCTCCCACTCTCTCTAAAAATCAATGGAAAAAAATATCCTAGGGTGAGGTTTAACAACAACAAAAAACCTGCTGCAGAAAGTCATGGCTGCAGAAAGTCATGACATGGGACAACAGAACCAATTACCACACAATGCGTGGTGATCATGTGTTAATCATTTCCCAAACAGTGTTTAAGATCGGTGACCTTGGATTTAAATATGTATATTATACTTGTAGATATGTAATATTTATTTATGGCAGTAAAATTACTACAGTATTTTTTCTAAAATAAGGCCTATTTGCTAAAATTTAAAATAACAGTAAATTAATAACAAAAATAACCTGTTGATTTAATTAAAGCGAATCTTAGTTCAAAGCATTTTAAAATTAACAGGGTGTTAATTTCCACATATGACATATGTACCAGAAGTTTTGTCCATTAAGTCTGAAGTCCGTTGAATTGAAGTCCAAAAAATTGAGGGTTTACTGAAATATATTGAAAGGAGTATTTTCTTCTGAGCAGTAGGTCTCAACAGTGAGTTGAAAATAGTTAAACATCTTAGAAACAGATGTGCTATTATCCAGGCTTTGTTGTTCCATGTGTAGAGCACAGTCAGAGTAGATCAGCATAATTCTTAAGGGCCCTAGGATTTGTGGAATGGGAAATGAGCATTGGCTTTAACTTAGTCATTAGCTGCATTAGCCCCTAACAAGAGAGTTAACCTGTCCTTTGAAGCCAGGCTTTAACTTTTCTCTAGCCATGAAAGTCCTAGATGGCATCTTCTTCCAATATAAGGCTGTTTTGTGTACAGTGAAATAGTGTAGCCACCTTCATTAATCTGAGCTAGATCTTCTGGATAACTTGCCACATCTTCTACATCAGCACTGGCTGCTTCACCTTGCACTTCTGTTATGGAGATGCCTTCTTTCCTTAAGCCTCATGAACCAACCTCGGCTAGCTTCGAACTTTCTTCTGCAGCTTCTTCACCTCTCAGTCTGACAGCAGTGATCAGTACCTGAAATGATCTTAACTTATTTTTGTCCATGTTGTCTCCACATACTTGCAGGGAAGTACTTGGTACATAATAGGCACTCAAATATTTGTTGTGGATTGATTTATCAGATACTATGAGAGCTAGTTATTTCCTGCTAGTAGCCTTTAATGTTTAAGAGCACAAATACAGAGATGAGTACATTTGGGATTTATTTTGATAGGCTTTTCATGATGAGGTTAAAGAAAATTTAATGTTGGAAAAACACAAGAAAAGTAAGGAGGGTTGAAAATAGTCTTATGTTAGATCTGTAAGAGTTCACACTTGGCCTAGGCTGCCATGCACCTTCCTTTCTTAGAAATATTGGTAGCGTATCTGCAGTAGAATTTCTACTGTTTTGTATGATAGAGGAGAGATTGTATAATTTTTTAAGAAACAGATTGTTAAACCTTGAGTATTAGAAGTTTAAATTAAAATGTTTTTAAGTTTGGAATGTTTGTATTTGGTGCTGTGGGGGGAAGTACACAATAAATAAGATATGATGTACAACCAAAGAACTCTTTCTTCAACATGCATCTAGGAGTGGGTTGTACATAGTAATAATATCAGCAAACACCCTAAATTTACTGTGTGGTAGTTACTCCTCTAAGCCCTTTACAAGTATGTATTTTTTTCAACCCTCTAAGGTAGGTATTACTAGTATTGACCTAATTTCAGATATCAATGAACTTGAGACCCAGAGGAGTAAAGTACTTTTCCATGATCACATGGCCAATAGGCAGCAGAGTCAGAAGTTGGGTGCAGGTATTCTGACATTGTCTCTCCATAGCATACTTGGTGTCCTTGACTGAATGCTGTCCAGAGGTCACTTCCTTAAAGAATCTCCCCTGATGCATGCCCTGCCCTCTGCCCCCAGGCAGTTAGTCCTCCATGTAGAATTTTGAATACTTATCTGTTAGAATAAAGCTCATCTAATATTTACAATGTCTAGAATGTATCTTCTTTACTATAAAGGTTGGTTATGAAGCTCTTTTTCTTCTAGTGAAAGGCAAAGAACAAGATAAGACGTCAGATGCCAAGACAGTTAAAGGTGAGTTCAGCAGTATTCCATTGTATTAAAAGGGGATGTGCTTTGCATTCATGAGCTCTTCAATCCTGTTATCCTCTCCCTTCATTTGCCATTCATCATTTCTTCCCTTTTTTAGAGTTATTTGTGATTAACTTACTTCCCTGTTTAACTTTTATATTCCCCAACACCTAGCATATAATAAATAGGTTTTCACTAAGCATCTGTTGGCTGTTCTAGTGATTACAGTGAATCAGTGCCTTCCTTGTTAATCACACATTTGATTGTTCCCTAAAAGTGATTAGTTGATTTTATTTTAAAACAGCAAAAATCAAAAAATACTCTTAACTAACAGCTAGCTGAGTGAAAGCACTGCCACTTGCCAGGCTTGGTTTTCTGTTTGTCTACCAGTGTGGATGGTAACAGTTTTCACTTCATTACTTCGGATGAATGGCCTTACATTTATTCTGAGAACTTTATTTGAATCAGTGTATTAGCCCTATTTATAAGACATTCTTAGTTTATACTCTCTGCTGTAGTTTTGACTGATTTCATTCTTTCAATGTACAAAGATTATAATGGGAAAATTATAATGGGAATTATTTCCATAGCCATTACATATTAATTTTATAAATAGATGTTATTTACATGAAATCTGTGGGTTGCTACTTATTTAGATTTTTCTTTCAAATGTTTATATGTTGTGTGACTGGCATTGAGTATTAACTCTATATGTTCAGTTTGCCGGAGACTATTTATAACTTAAGAGATTTGTAAGATGGTTTCCTGCTTATTTCTGATCATTTAATGCAGCGGTTCTCAACCTGTGGGTCGCGACCCCTTTGGGGGTCGAACGACCCTTTCACAGGGGTCGCCTAAGACCATCGGAAAACACATATATAATTACATATTGTTTTTGTGATTAATCACTATGCTTTAATTATGTTCAATTTGTAACAATGAAATTGGGGGTCACCACAACCTGAGGAACTGTATTAAAGGGTCGCGGCATCAGGGAGGTTGAGAACCACTGATTTAAAGCCATTTGAATTCCACATTAGTTCATACTGCCCTCCAATTTGATTGGCATTGATAGAGGCTAAAAGCCCTTAGCAAGCAGAGGCTTGTGAAGACTAGATTTGATGGTAGTAGGAAGCAGGGATCGTGATGGCTCAGGCATATCAGTCTTGTACACTAACAGTATAACTTTGGAAGTCATGTAACTTCCTTCAGATTCTTCATTTGTAGGTTAAGAGGGTTGGCCTACCTAACTTCTACATCTGTACCAGGCTAAAAAAAGTTCCATGCTTGTATTCTATTTATGACTGTATATAATCTGTGCTTAGCATTCCTGAAATAATTAAAAAAATAATTTGAAGACAGCTTCATTGCATAATTCTCCCAACTCTTGTTGAATAATTGATGAATATAGATACCTGGAAACAGGTATGGATATTCATGTTTTTATCTGCTTTATTCTATAAACACGTCTCAAGGAGTAATAGATTAAATTACAGTACTATGTATTTTGTCTTTCATAAGAACTATTACCAAGTATTACTCAGATTCTGTGTCTGGGAGCTATTTACTAAGATAGAGAGCACCTGTCTGTTGACTGCTCAATAAAATAAGTGGTGTTGCCCAGCCAGTGTGGCTCAGTGGTTGAATGCCAATCCATCAACCAGTAGGTCATGATCAGGGCACATGCCCGCGTTGTGGGCTTGATTCTCAGTAGGGCATATACTGGGGATTAAGCCTGCAACCCGGGAATCGAACTGGGATGGTCAACCGCTGAGCCATGCCGGTGGGCAAAAAACTTAATTTTTAAAGTTCTCTCAAAGCCCTCTTTTGAGAAAACAGAGGGCTTTAATAGAACCTTTAAGATAATTTTAAGAAACTATCAAATTTTAATTTTTAACAATTTTTTGAAAAATTATAGCCTCAAATCCTGTATATTCCCCACAAAAAAGCACTAAAAATCATGCCTTGCTGGAGGCTGCAGGACCAAGTCATATTGCAATCAATGCCATTTCTGCCAACATGGACTCCTTTTCAAGTAGCAGGACGGCAACACTTAAGAAGCAGCCAAGCCACATGGAGGCTGCTCATTTTGGTGACTTGGGTAAGTGACATTCACTTTTTGTTAACTTACAATAGGAGGAAGGAGTTCAGTATAGCATGTGAAATTCTTGCCAAAGGATAGTGAACTGTATAATTAAAAAATGTATACAAATTAAAATAACAGCTGTACGTGTAATGGAAGCACTGTGTTTTGTTCCTATAAATACAAAATATAAAGGACACCCAATAGAAAAATTGGCCATGTCCAGAAGAAGAAATACATTTGGCTTGATTGTGTGAAAAAGATGCCTCATTTCACTGATACTCAGGGAAATGCAAATTAAAATAGGTAAATTTGCCCTGACCGGTTTGGCTCAGTGGATAGAGCATCAGCCTGCAGACTCAAGGGTCCCGGGTTTGATTCCGGTCAAGGGCATGTAACTTGGTTGTGGGCACATCCCCAGTGGGGAGTGTGCAGGAGGCAGCTGATCGATGTTTCTAACTATTCCTCTCCCCTCCTCTCTGTAAAAAATCAATAAAAAAATATTTAAAAAAATAAATGAAATAGGTAAATTTTTTAAAGTAAATATTTAAAGTTTGACAATTTGTTAATGTAGATGCAAAAAATAGCCACTTCCTTTTAGTGGAAGTGCAAATTGGTGAAGATTTTTTAAAAGACAATTTGGAAGTATTTATCAAAATGTATACAATTTAGTCCTCAGTATGCTCACATATATGCACAAAGGTGTATACATAAATGTGTATAAGGCTATTCATTGCAGTATTGTTGTGATAGGAAAGAATTAGGAACAAGATATAAATACCCACTGATAGAGAAATAGTCAAATTTTGGTATACCCATACTCTGGAATACTGTGTAGCCATTTAAAGTCCGAAAAAGACATGTTAAAGTGAAAAAGCAGCTTACATAGCAGTATGTATAATAGGATCCCTGTTGTGTAAATAACTCCTTTCTCTCCCCACCCTCTGCACATGCAAAAAAAAAAAAAAAAGGATATGCAGGAGATTTCTTACAACTGCATATGAATCTACTATATAAGATTTAAAAGTTTAATTAAGAAAAATTGTAAGTCTTGCAGGGGATCAGGATTTCCTGAAGTTCATGAAACGGATGTCTACAAAGATGGACTAGCTAACATTGACAATAAGATAGTAAGGATGATGACATGTGAAATGCTTCAAAGGAAAATTATTTGAATAGCAAAGGATTAAGAAAAGCCCTTTTGAAAAATTGACGTAATCATCAGTTATTTTTATGAAAATAAACCTCTTTATGTCATCCTGTGAAAATTTAAAAACACACACCAAGATTTGATTTTTTGTTTTTTTAATAGCTGTGGTTATAATCACAACTTAAATTTAGTTAAATGTAAAATAAACTTGTTTTTATTAAGTTTGGTTTTATTTTTTAAGATAAAATTCCAGAGCTACTCTTTATTCTGTTTTAAATAATATTGAGAGTTCATAACACTTTTCTAGCTATATCCACACAACCACAGTTGTTCCCCAGGATACGTTTCTAGAAGTGAAGTTTTTGAATTGGAAATCATGCAGATTGCTTAAGGTTTGTTATCTGTTACTGAATGCTCCTCAAAAAACCTCTCATTATCAGTGGTGAGAGTGCTTCCTGTTTCATTGTGCCTTGTTAGTGCTTGTTACTATTTTTTTCTCAATTTTTTTTATTGATTTCAGAGAGGAAGAGAGTGACATTGATGATGAGAGATAATCACTGATCAGCAGCCTCCTGCCTAGGGATTGAACCCACAACCTGAATCAGGCGGGAATCGAGCCGAGACCTACTGATTCATAGGTCGATGCTTAACTATTGAGCCGCACCAGCCGGGCTATTATTTTTTGAAAAAATATATTCCAGTTTGACAAGCTAAAAAGGTTATCTTGTATTAATTTGCTTTTCTGGAATATTTTTTAAAGTATATTTTATTCATTTTTACAGAGAGGAAGGGAGAGGGATAGAGAGTTAGAAACATCGATGAGAGAGAAACATTGACCAGCTGCCTCCTGCACACCCCCCACTGTGAATGTGCCTGCAACCAAGGTACATGCCCTTCACCAGAATTGAACCTGGGACCTTTGAGTCCGCAGGCCGACGCTCTATCCACTGAGCCAAACTGGTTAGGGCAACTTTTCTGGAATTTTTAATGAGGTTGAATATTTTTTAAAAATTATTAGCCTTTTTTCTTTCTTTGGGACTAGTACTATAAGATTTTTTTTTAATATATATATTTTTATTTTAGGTAGGAAGGAAGTGGGAAAGAGAAATAGAAACATCAATGATGAGAGAGAATCATTCATTGGCTGCCTCCTGCACGCCTCACACTGGGACCCAAGCCCGCAACCTGGACATGTGCCCTGACAGGGAATCGAACCGTGACCTCCCGGTTCATAGGTTGATGCTCAACCACTGAGCCACACCGGCCAGGCCATAAGATTTTAAGAAAAGAATTTACATGGTCATAATCGTTGTAGTAAACCTAGTTACTAATAACTGGAAAGGAGCAGTGGGGAGGCCAAATAGTTTAGGCACGCCATTTGTGTGCTTTGCCACAGATCTCTTGGGGAAGGGACTAGACGGAGGAAGAATAGACGCATACCCAGTAAAGTCTGGGTGACATAGGGAAGGTACTTGTTTGTCAGTCAAACCTGGGAAGAGGTCATTGGCAAGAGGAAGCATAGCCAATGCAAGCTCAGGAAGACTTGAGACATTTAATCTCCTAATAAACAAAGGAGCTTGCTCTCTGCGCTCTTGCTGGCTTGTGTTTTGGGGACTCTGGGAACTCTTGTTGCAGAGCATGCTCTCTTGACCCCCCTCACTTGCCCACCTTGCTCACGGCTATGTGGACCACACACAATGGACTAATGGACTGCAACTGGCCTGATGCTAAACGACTCAGCACCCCATGGAATGGGAGCTTTGGATGCTGACTTTGCTCCCAGCTCTGCTAAAGCCCCAGCTGCACATCTTCCAGGATTGGATTAAGGGAAATGGGACTTTGGAAATCCAGAGATAATACCACACAAATAAAAATCATTCATTCTCCTGTGCGAGTCTCAGATAATTCTTTTTTTTAAAATATATTTTTTATTTCAGAGAGGAAAGGAGAGGAAGGGAGAGATAGAAACATCAAGGATAAGCTAGAATCATTGATAGGCTGTCTCCTGCACACCTCCTTATTGGGGATCGAGCCACAACCTGAGCATGTGCCTTTGACCGGAATTGAACCCATGACCCTTTAGTCCACAGGCCAACGCTCTATCCATTGAGCCAACCCAGCTAGGGCAATAATTCTTTTACTTGAGATATTGTAAGAACCCGACTCCCTAGTACCCACTGGGAAAGGGGATACCCCACTTTCACCAATAATAGTCTGAATTTCCATTTAAAAAGATGAGGATTATTTGAGTAACAAAGAGCTTTTTAATAATTTAAGTAAGTTTTGGGCAGTAGTTTCTTTGCTTGTTTAGAAACCAAAACCATAGTATTTCAAGTTATTTATCCATTTAAATAGTTAGGAAGTAAACTTTATTTAAGGTCTTTGATGCTAAAGTTGCCTAATAGGTCAGTCTTAAACTATTTATTACTGAACTGCTAATTCTTTTGCTTTTTTTAGGCAGGTCTTGTCTGGACTACCAGATTCAAGAGGCCAAATCAAGTCTTTCAAAGACTCTTGAACAAGTCTTGCATGACACTATTGTCCTCCCTTATTTCATTCAATTCATGGAACTTCGGAGAATGGAGCATTTGGTTAAATTTTGGTTAGAAGCTGAAAGTTTTCACTCTACAACTTGGTCCCGAATAAGAGCATACAGTCTGAGCACAGTGAAGCAGAGCTCATTGGCTGAGCCTGTCTCTCCATCTAAAAAGCAAGAAACTGCAGCACCTTTTGTAACCGAGTCTCTTGACAAGAGATTAGAGGATTCTGGCTCAGCCCAATTGCTTGTGACTCAATCAGAAGAAAGTGACCTGAATAATAGAACTAGCAACACCCAGAATCGCTTGCTCCTTTCCGAGGAATGTGACAGTGCCCATTCTCTCCATCTTGAAATGGCCAGAAGAGAAGCTCATCAAGTTTCCATGGAAACCCAAGAATCCTCCCCCAGACTTACAGTAGCCAGTAGAAATAGTCTTTCTTCACCACTAAAGGAATTATCAGGAAAACTAATGAAAAGTAAGTGTGTGATTTCCATCTTTCTCTTTTTCCTTTTTTTTTTAAATCAGTGTACAAAGTGGAACTTGCGATGGAGAATAAAAGGATTAGACTTATTTTTTCTCCCATATTTACTTTTAAATTTGGAAAGATTTGGAGAGTGTCCTAGAGTAGGATCAGTGTATAAAAAAGGAACAGGGATAGATATAGTGATTGGATTCTCGAAGAAGAATGTTAGCAGAATTAACAAATGAAGAAAGGTCAAGTACCATCCTACTTATCCTTCCATAGATTTTTTAAATCAAAGTATTGTCCAGATAGGCTTAGTCCATCCTGTCTGTCTTAATTTTATTACACTTTTACTGTACTTTGCAAATAAATGTATATTTGAATTGGTAGTAAGTGACAGTTATTATATTCTCATTTAGTAGTCAGGACACCTCTGTGAGGTAGGCTTTATTATTCTGTTTTGCATGAGAAAACCATGGCTTAGAAAGGTTAAGTAACTTGCCCTAGGTTTTACAGTTAGTGGGAAGCTAGAATTATAGCCCAGGCATCTCACAGCAGCAACCTTTCTTTTTTTTTTTATTCTCTATTTGGAAATTACACACTCTTATTTTTCCATTATCACCTTCTGGAAATCTAATTAGACAGCCTTTGTGTTTTTTATCCTACATGTTCTTTGTTTCCCAAAAGGGCTAGGTCCGTGGTCTGTACACTGCGGCTCGCAAGCCACATGCGACTCTTTGGCCCCTTGAGTGTGGCGCTTCTTAAGCCTTAGGAGTATCCTAATGAAGTTAATAACAGTGTACCTACCTATATAGTTTGGGTTTAAAAAATTTGGCTCTCAAAAGAAATTTCAGTCGTACTGTTGATATTTGGCTCTGTTGACTAATGAGTTTGCCGACCACTTGGCTAGGTGATTTTCTTTCTGTTTTTTTCTCATTTGCTTATTTTTTTAGAGCAGTTTAATGTTCACAGCAAAATTCTGGAGAATGTACAGATTTCCAGGTACTGCCTACCTATTGTTTTGGTTTAATTTTCTACCCCAGGGGTCCTCAAACTTTTTAAACAGGGGGCCAGTTCACTGTCCCTCAGACCATTGGAGGGCCGGACTATAGTTTAAAAAAAAAACTCTGAACAAATTCCTGTGCACACTGCACATATCTTATTTTGAAGTAAAAAAAACAAAACGGGAAATATTTGTATTTGCATGTGGCCCGCTGGCCGTAGTTTGAGGACCCCTAGTCTACCCTTTTTGGGTCCTGGGGCAACTGTCTTTGAAAGTGCAAGCTCTAAGTCTCTTGAAATTGGTGGCTTTTCTCAGGGGAATGCCCTCCAGGTCTTGTACTATTACCCATCTAGATTTGCCACTAGCTTCTACAGGTCCACAATTCCTTACCTGCCATTCAGAAATATAGAAAGCATTGACTGCCACAAGTTATTTTTAAACTGAAGAAAACTTGACCTGAACTGTTATGAACTTATTGCAGAAATATGAATGTGTTTTATTCTGGGGTATTGTCCCACATGCTGCTGGGATTATGGTAATGGTATATATAAATACAGTACATTACCTCTGTAAATGCCCCCACACCCTAGTTCTGAATCTAAAAGATTACCAGCCCCAGCGAGTTCAGACAAAGGAGCTGCTGTACTTGCTTCTGCCTCTCGTTTCCCGTCCTTTACCACAAGCTCTGGCACACTTTTTAAAAAGCACATGGGAGTTTGTTTGAACACCTAATCTGGCCTATTTCTGCAAATGGAAGTCCAACATCCATTTCTTACATTAAAATATACTGTATTATTTTTTAAAATGTCATTGGGTGGTACTTAATAAAAAATAGAAATAGTAGTGGGGTTATTTTTAAAGTATTTGTTTTCTCCTTTTTCATTATTTTTAAAATTTATGTGCAGTAAATTGACTTTTTTGATGTATACTTGTATGAATTTTGACACCTGCATAGATCCCTGTAACTATCACCACAAGCAGGAAGACCTTTGTAGTCAAATCCTCTGTATCCCGACACTTGCAACCTTCCATTGTCCACATCTCTAGTTTTGCCTTTTCCAGGGTGCCATATAAGTGAATTTGTATAGTGTGTAGCGTTTTTGTTTGTTAATTCTCATGCGAGGATATTTTTTCCATTGATTTTTAGAGAAAGTAGGAGGGGGGAAGAGAGAGAGAGACAGAGAGAGACAGAGACATTTATGTGAGAGACATCGGTTGGTTGTCTCCCACACATGCCCCCACTGGGACCAGGGATCGAACCTGCATCCCAGGTACATGCCCTTAACCAGGAATTGCACCCATGACCTTCCAATCACTGAGCCTCACAAGCCAGGCTGTATTACATAGCTTTTGAGTCTGGTTTCTTTTACTCAGCATAATAGCTCTGAAGATCATCCATGTTGCTTATTTCAGTAGTTCATTGCTTTCTGTTGCTAGGTAGTATTCCACTGTATGGCTGTACTATCCATTTACTTGTATGTTATTCCAGTTGTTGATGATTATGAATAAAGCTGTTATAAACATTTGTTTACAGGCTTATGTGTGAACAAAGTGTTATTTCTCTAGGGCAGATTCTTCTTAGGGGTGCTGGATTATGTGATAAGCATGTATTTGATTATCTAAGAAACTGCCAGACTGTTTTGTAGAATGGCTGTACCATTTTGCATTCCTATCAGCAATATATGATAGTTCTATTTCTTGTTTCCTTGTCAGCACTTGGTATAATTGGCTTTTTGTTTATTTAGATTTTTTAAAGCCATTCTAACAGATGTGTAGTGATAATCTCATTTTGCTTTTCCTGTGCATTTCTCTAATGGCTAATGAATGATATTGAATCATGTACATATTTGCCATCTATTCTCTTTGGTGAATTATTCAGATCTTTGCCATATTTTGTTGTATTGCTGGTTTTATTATTATTGAATTTTGAGCATTCTCTATATGTACTGGATATAATACCTTGATTTGCAAATGCTTTCTCCTAGTTTATAGCTTGACATTTCATTCATTTAACAGTGTCTTTCACAAAGCAAAAGAACCTTTTGATAAGTCCACTTTATCTACCTCTCTTTTATATATTTTGCTTTTGATGTCATATCTAGGAGCTCTTTTTGCCTAACCAAAGGTCATGAAGATTTTTTCCTATATTTTCTTATGAAAGTATTATAGTATTTTATACTTTACATTTAGATATGTGATTATTATGTAAGGTGTGAAGGCTAGATCAAGGCTTTTGTTTTATTTTTACATGTGGATACCTGATTGTTCCAACATAATTAATTGAAAGGACTATTTTTACTACATTGAATTAATTGCCTCTGTTTTGGCCATATTAGTTAGGTCTATTTCTGGACTCTGGTCTGTTCCATTGCTTTATGTGTGTGTTTGTTTGTTTATTTATTTACTAGAGGCCTGGTACACAAAAATTAGTGCACTTGGGGGCGGCGGGGGGGGAGGTCCTCAGCCTGGCCTGTGCCCTCTTGCAGTCTGGGACCCCCCGGGAGATAATGACCTGCTGGCTTAGGCCTGCTCCCGGGTGGTAGAGGGCAGGCCCAATCCCTAGGTGTAGCCCCTGATCGGGCTCAGGGTAGGGTCGATTGGGGAGTTGGGGCGCCGCCCCCTGTCATACACAGAGCAGGGTGGATCAGAAGGTTGCGATGCCACCCTCAGTCACGCTCAGGGTAGGGTCAATTGGGGGGTTGTGGCACCGCCCTCTGTCACACTCAAGGCAGGGTGGATGGGGAGGTTGCGGCGCCACCCCCTGTCATGCACAGAGCAGGGCCTTTTTTTATTCTGGGCCAGCTTTAGCTCTGGCTCCAGCTCTTAGGCCTCTGCTGCTGAGTTCTGTAATCAAAACAATGTATAATTCCAGCTCTGAGATCCCGGCTGGCTGAAAGCATGTTTCTGGAGTTTTGTTTAGCTTCTATATTTGTAACTATGTTTCAAACTGCAAGCTCAGAGGCCGGCAAGGCAGGAGGGGAACGTTGGTTTCCTCTGTCACTGAAGCAAGCAAGCCTCATGTTAGTTTCAAGCTGCCTGGCTGCTGGCTGCCATCTTGGCTGGCAGCTAATTTGCATATCACCCTAATTAGCCAATGGTAAGGGTATCGGATGTATGCTAATTACCATGTTTCTCTTTCATTAGATAGGATTGCTTTATGTGTTTATTTCTTCACTGATACAACACTAGTAATTTAAGTCATAGTAAGTCTTAAATTTGGGTAGTATGAATCTTCCAACTATGTTCTTTCTTTTCTCGTTTCTTTTATTTTCATATAAATTTTAGAATAATCTCATCTGTATCTATGAGAAACCCTGCTGGAATTTTTATTCGAGTTGCATTTAAATAATAAGTCAGTTTGGGGAGAATTTACACCTTAACTGTATTGAATGTTATAATCCATAGATATGGTGTGCTTCTTCATTTATTTAGGTCTTTGATTTCTTTCATCAGCATTTGATACTTTCAGCATAAAGATTCTTTACATGTTTTGTTAGAGTTAATCTCTAGTATTCTTTTTTGGTGCTATTGGGAGTGGTATTTTTAAAAATGTTGTTTCTAATTTTTTCAGTCCTAGTTTATAGAAATAGGATTGACTTTTATACGTTAATCCTCTATTCTGTGTCCTACTAAACTGACTACTTTTATGGGCTTTTTTGGTAGATTGCTTAGGATTTTCTACATAGACATTCACATTATCTGTGAATAGCGACAGTGTTTTTTCTTCCTCTTCAAACTTCTTTTCTTTTTTCTTGCCTTATTGCACTAGCTGGGACTTCCTGTACCATGTTGATTAGGAGTGGTGAGAGAACACAGTCACTATTAAAAATGAGACTAGCTATGGGGTTTTGAAAATGCCTTTTATCAGGTTGAAGAAATTCTTTTACCTTAATGCTTTACTGAGAGTTGTTGAATCATGAATGGTGTTGAATTATGTCAGATGTTTTTGCTGTATCATTTTATATGACCATGTAATATTTTTTTGTCTGTTAATATAACCTTGATTTAT